CATTGAACTTTTGGCCAGAGAAAAAATACGTAATATGTAGCCAACATTTGGAAGAAGAATGTTACACTGGGACTTGATCAACAGCCGATACCTCACCGTGACGTCACAAACCAGTAGGTGGCAGTAGTGTTCTTTGACAAACATGGATGCCTCCAGTAAAGCACATTCAAAAGAAAATCACTCTGAATTAAAAACAATTATATTTATTGAACAGTATGTAATAATTTCAGATTTAAAGTACTTTCAGAAGTTTGAATTCTGAATATGAGCGGACTTTTCCTTTAATGCAGCAGCATTCAGACGCTGGTCAGGCTGAAGGACTGTAGAGGAAAACGGAAAAAAATACATCTAAACCTTTGAGTATAGATGTAGCGTCAGCATAAAGGATAGAGGAAGGCGAGTTCTGGAAGCATCTCTGTTGGTTTTCATGTGACTGCAGAGCGTTGTGCAGCCGTCAGATTGGACGTAGCAGTGAGTTCCTTCCTGCAGCAGTGGTCTGGCTCCATTATGGCGACCAGAGAGTTCTGGGTCGTCCTGAAAGTTTGGGCCCCGTTGGAGAAGACGGGTGAGAGAATGATCCTCTGGTCAGCCCTGCTGCAGCTGTTTCTGTACGCAGCTGCTGACCTCAGCCTGCCTGCAAAGATCAGAGCGATCTGATGTGTTTCAGCAGAGGTGGAGGGAGTTAACTCCTCCTCTGCTCCCTCAGGAAGAGGTCTGGTCTGGGTGCCATTCTGAACGGTTTCCAGCTCCCCACATCATCATCGTCATCAAACCGCACTAAGGCAGTTTGATGATGATCAAACATTTCATAAATTTTAGAACAATCTAGCCTAGCCGATGCTCTGAGGTGGAGCAGAGAAGAGGGACAGAGATTCTGTCGTCTGCAGCCTTTTTTTTAACCTGATTCAGCAGATTTAGGGAGTTTCTCTTTGTACCTGATGCAGATGAGACCACTGAACTCAGTGATGAGTTGATATGCTTCACAGAATCATGATTTCTGATTATAGTTAGAGGATCTGTGCTTTGGGTCAACAGTCCAGTGTAACTGCAAGTGTGGAAATGATGTAAAGAGGTGACTCCAAGCATGTTGGACAAAGATATCAGGTTTTTCGGGGGATAAGGTGAGGTGAGAGAGCAAATAGAGATGAAGAGGCTGAGGTGGAGAGGCCAGAGAGGGTTAGGATGTGGACAGAGGAGAACATCTGGAGCAGCTGGAGCTACCAGGCAGGAGAACTGGATGAGATGTTAGTGTGACAGAAGAAGATGCAGTTAGATGAGTCACTGTGGCGAGCTCTGAAAGGAAAAAACAAAGCTGGAGGGAGAAGCAGTTAACAGAGCAATTAGTTAGAAATGTAATAGTTAAATGTAGCAGAATCATCTAATTTCTCCCTGAGATGGAGGTAAGGCTCCCTATCAACAACGCCCTGGTCCAGTTCTTCTCCTCTCTAACCTAGAAAGTGCAATCCAGAACTACATCGCTGCAGATCTTTAGCCTGCATTTACTTCCTGGTTTCTGAGCCAATCATATGAGGGCTCCCAGGGTCACAGCATTAAGTAAAAAAACTGAGGTGCCATCATATTCAAACACCTGTAGCTCTCGGAAACTCACTTTGAGGAGAGAGTCAGACTCTGCAGAACGTCTGGAGCTGATTATGTATAAAAAAGGCTTATGATATTAAGCTGATTCTCTCCTCATTTCCTCCTCCTGGATCAGCTCTTCCTCCTTTAATGTCTGCTCCTGATCACCTCCACTGTTTGTTTTAAAGGTCAGAGCACGTTCCCTTTCTTCCCTCCCTCTTTAAGTTCGCCTCCTGCTCTCTTCCTCTGCCTCTAACGTGGCCAATAAAGAGCCTCTGGTTTTAGTCTCCTCCCCCATCTTTCCTCTGCCTCCATAATCTGCCCTCATCATGTCAAAGGTCCCAGCGCAGTAGTTTTATTACCTCCTCCCACCACTCTTCCTTTCTGTCGTTGACCTTAACTCCTCATGCTAAAGGTCAGCTCTGTGTCGCTCCTACTTACTGATCACCTCATTTGGAAATTATTCTGATTAATAAGGCTGGCAGCCCTTTTGAAGCATGTCCTCCGGCCCGGCTGGAAAAGACACATATTGACTCTCTGGGTTTGGTTCCTCTTTTGATGTCTCACTTTAAACTCTCAGACCTTGGAGGCTTTAATTAGAATAGAGCAGGAGGCAGAGGAGGAGGCGAGGGTCAGGCCTGTAATCCCTGCTGGAGTCAGCCTTAACAGAGTTTTACCAAAGACAGTGAGACACGGGGTCCTGGAAGAGGCAGGAGGCAGCCGGTGTGGGGAACCTGTAGGAATTCAGTAATGGTAAACAGACTGTACTGGTTCTGGTGCCGGACAGTTGCCCAACAACACCATCTGTTCTGGTTTCCAGCTCACTCAAAAATAAAATAAAAAATAAAAATAAAAATATGTTAAATCAAGCTGGTAACATCTGGCATTCATGATTCTGTTAAGCATCATATCATCTCAGGTCACTTTTTAGATCAACCAGATCATCACAATCAGATTAAAGGTTCAAAGGTTCTATCTAAGGAAAACCAGCTGATTGCATCGACTCATTGGCTCTTCAGCAATCCCTCACACTAAGCATGCTTGTAGCGACAGTGGAGAGGAGAAACTCCCTTTTAACAGGAAGAAACCTCCAGCAGAACCAGGCTCAGTGTGAGCGGCCATCTGCTGAGGCTGACTGGGGTTCAAGGAGACAGAAGCAGACATAGAAATATAATATAGAAGCACTGATCTATAAATACTTTCTATGTTAGAAAAGCTAACAGTAAACTAGCTCCATAGGAGGGTCTGTCAGGGAAACAAACAGTTAATCAGACGAACTTTGAGCCAGTTTTCAGTCGAGGCTTGAGCTCCAACATTTAGAATAGAATAGAATAAAATAGAATAGAATAGAATAGAATAGAAAAGAAAATCCCTTTATTCAATTGAGAAATTCTAGAGTTTCTAGTGTCAGAAGCAAAAAAGATTATAGAAAAAAATGTCACACAAATGTGGACCTTAGAAAAATGTATAATAACATAATAGTGAATGGTTAAATGATAAACAATAAAATACTGTACTGTGAAGTGTTTTAACAATTCATAAACTGAGGTGTTGATGGCAGCAGCACAGCTGATATTTCTCTCCAGGATGGAGTCACAGCCAAACAGGAACAGACCAGATGAAGCTACTATGAGAAAAAGCAGAGAGGGCAGAACGTTAGAGATTGAACTAACAGATTCTGCAGAGTGGGAGAATAGAGATAGAATGAAGCAGAATGATGAAAAGGGGTCCCTATGTCCTCCAGCAGTCTAAGCCTATAGCAGCATAACTATGGAGATACCTCAGGATAACCTGAGCCACTCTAACTATAAGCTTTATCAAAGTGCTCTGTTAGGAACATAAGGAACAATCAGATCTCTGATATCAGATAGAGCTTGGCCATTTAAGGCTTTATATGTGAGAAGGAGGATTTTAAATTCTATTCTGGATTTAACAGGAAGCCAATGAAGATAAGCCAGGATAGGAGAGATATGATCTCTCTTTTTCATTTTCATCAGAACTCTGGCTGCAGCATTTTGGATCAGCTGAAGGCTTTTAACTACAGTTTGTGGACTTCCTGATAGTAAAGAATTACAATAGTCCAGCCTTGAAGTAACAAATGCATGGACTAGTTTCTCAGCATCACCCCTGGACAGAGATTTCTCATTTTTGCAATATTCCTCAGATGAAAGAAGGAAATTCTAGAAACCTCTTTGATATGGGATTTAAATGACAGGTTCATCCATTAACCCCTCCCAGTTTGTCCTTAAATAAACCTTCAGTTTTGGTTCAGGCCTGTAGTAACGTTGGAGCTGATGTAAAATAAATCCTCATCATAAGGTGTGTTGACATTTATGTTCATTAATTAGGCTGTTAGTGAATTAATGAAGCCTTTATTTAAACACTCCGTTCCAGTGTTATCCAGAACCTGATCTCCATTCTGCCTGCTGGGTCTCCATATTACAAGCACAAACACACACTCTGTCAAGTGTTGTTCTACATCTTAAATCCCTGACATACATTTTTATGTATTATTCACTCAGTTCATCGTACTGAAAAGTCGTCGTTTAATTAAAGCATTAGCAGTTTAAACTCCGGTGCTGAGGATTATTGTTTGTTCTTTCTGCTGCTCATCCAGACCTGACTCCTGTCAGAGGTGACTGTTGTGTTTTTGTGTTTTTAATTAGGAGGAGCTGCTGAGGCTGCAGAAGGAGAGAGATGAAGCTCTGGACCAACAACGTCAGCTTGAGGCCCAAATCCAAGCATTACTAGCTGATCCCAGGTTAGCCACCATCACCAAGTCCACCTTTAGGAAACATCTGAAACTGCTTTTCTCAGATTGTGTCTGCTTCTCATCGATCTATCTGCTCAAATTATATATAAATGCAAACAAAAATTCAGTCTATAGACTAACAAGACCAAACTGAGGGTGTCTGACCAAACAATACAGCTAATGGCTGGTAGTCCACCCATCTGTCCCTGTTTCCACTGAGTGCATCGGCTCCTGATTCTTTGCTTCCATATTTCCTATCTGCTCTGTGTCTTCAGAGTTAAACTTCAACTTCTCAGGTCTCTAAATATCAGCCTGATGCCTCCACATAACAACAGAAATCCCCAAACTAATTAAAACACTAATTAAAGCAGCAAAATATCCCTTTACTCCAGGTATCATCTCTGCTTATAAAGGGTTGGCAGAAACCAACGATCTTTAGACCTTGAAACCACATTTCTACATACAGTATAGAAAGGAATATAACAGAATGAAATAGAATAGAACAGAAGATGAAGATCAGCAATCAGAAAAGTTAAAAATAAACACAAACGCAGTGCAAATAACTGCATTTATGGAACAGAAATAAATGGTTCAACTTACATTTTATGCTACCAACATTAACAGCTGGGAGCAGCTTGTTGCATAACCTGAAGGAAGTGAGAAATGTCTTCTTGTTCATGTTGAGGAGAAACGAAAAGGAAAAAAGTTGGTTTATTAAAACTTGACAAGAAATTCAGCCGCTGAATTTGTCTCATTTCTGTAGCTAATCTCACACCTGCAAAAGAAAACACAACAGTATGACGTCCCAAGGGACAATTTTAGGACTGAGTAGGAGAGCAAAGTCCTTTCCATTCCCTTTATCCCCTCTGTCAACCCGTCCTCAGACTATCCATCCCATAATTCAGTGCAATTCAATTCAAAGGTACTTTATTAATCCAAAGGGGAAATTAAATGTTGCAGTAACTAACAGGGTTGGCCTTTTTCTTTTTTTTTCATCGAGTTTTTGTCGGCCTGGATGCTGTTGGCTTGAAGGATCTCCTGTAGAGGCCTGTCTTGCACTGGATCTGGAGAAGCCTCCGTTGTTGTACTGGAGCTTGTTTTTCAGCCTTTTCATATGCCTCCTTGCTTTCTCTGATCTTGACTTTAAATTTCTTCTGTATACTCATTAGTTGCCTGTCTCCCTCTCCTCTTAAAGGCTTCTTTTTTCTTGTTGAACAGTTCCTTCAGATCACCTGTGATCCATGGTTTATTATTTGGGAAGCATTTCCCTGTTCTGGTAGGGATGGTTTTATCTACACAGCCTCTGATCAACCTTGCAGGGCTTCTTCAGCTTCCTGTGAACACTTCCTTACAGTTCTTTTTAATGCATGTTGTTTCTTATAAAGTGGCTTATAACCTGAGCAGAGGAAAAAAAAAGATTTTGAGTCCTTGACATTTGCATAAAACAAGTCCAAAGTTTTGTTTTCTCTGGTGCCAGCGTAGCAGAGAGTGAGGTGGGATTAAAATTTGCCACAAATGCATTCGGCTGTTTTGCCTGTAGTTTAAGCCGGGGGTACACTGTAGCTTTCTTTCAGTCGTTGCAAGCAGCTACAGCTCACACTGTATGCAGGGTTCCTGGGGGTCCTTAAAAAGTCTTAAAAGGCATTGAATTCTTCAAAATAAAACTAAGGC